AAACAGAAACAGACCCATAGGTAAGCTGATGGTTGCCAAGGGGCGGGGTTGGGGAATGGGAATTTTTTTTAAATGGCCGATTCATTAATCGCTTAATAAAGCCATTCAAATTTACTCAGCTTGATTTTGTTTTTTAACACTGGGTATACATTGTGGAACCACAAAATGACAGTTGTGAAGGCTGCGAGTTAACATGGACATATGTTTATACTGAAGTGTTAAGTTTAAAAAGCAGGACACTGAGTTGTTCCCTGTGCCGGGCATGTTTTGCATATAGATAAAGACTGAAAGGGAAGATGGAAAAAATTAAACTGATGGATTAAGTTGGGGTGGGTGATTATTTTCCTTAAAAATTGTTTTTCTTAAACATATGTCAAATTATAAAATGGATGCCTCTGGGAGATAACGTTACTCATGACATTTTTGCTCTGCTTCTTTCCAAATATTCTATATTGAGTAGGTGTTATCTGGATAATAAGAGAAAAAGAAGTTACGACACACACGCCTGAAAGAGGCTGCTCTCTTCATGTTGCCACAGCACTGATGGAGTAGGAAATGTTCCCTTTACCCCGGAGGCTGCCTGTATGGCTTTTCCCTTTTTCTCCCCACCTGGTTCCATCCTCATCACTCTCTTTAGAGGTCCTTCCACCACAAAACCAAAAGTTAAATGAATACACTTGGAAAATCCAAAGAAGCTCTGATCTCAGCCTCCTGCTGGTGTGAGCCTGGGCTCCTGTGGCTGAGACACTGAAGGGGGAGGAGAGAGCCGTGGGGGAGTTTTCCTGAACTCTGCAGGGCAGGAACAGAACATATGTCATTTCCATTGCTGGATTATTCCATGCTTTTTACTGCTGGTTATTATTCCAAAATGTTCAGGAGCAGTCGTTTCCTCCAAACCCACTCGTAAAGAAGCCCCTATCCTGCACCCATGACAGCCTCCAGCTCTCTCTCTGTCCCCATCTTTCTGCTCCCCCAGGATTCTCTCTACAGACCAGAGAAATAGGGTAGGTGTGAAGGTGATGGAAGAGGGACTGCAGCCTTTCCCAATGCTGGCAGGAAAGGAGCTTCCTTGCCTCTGCTAGAATATGGCAGAGATCCAGGTTGGGGAGAGGTAAAGCCGAGGCTATTGATTAAACCTTGTTCTGCACATGGGTTTAATCTCAACATCCAGGGACATGAAAGCTGGGGTCTCTGCAAACCTATTCATCTCCTAATCAGAGGAGACTCTGCAGAACGCAAGGGAAGATGGAGGCTGAGAGTCCCAATGGGTGGAAAGTATGTGTGTTGAGGGGTCGATGAGATGGCATGGAAAGAACAAGGAGGGGGCAGGTGACTGAGGTTCAAATCCCAGCTCTGACCTCTCCTTGCTGGGCAACTTGGGGGGAGTCACTTCCCTCTCTGAGCCTCATGTTCCTCTTCTGTAACTCAAAGAAGCAGTTGAAGATCCCTGTCCCTTTCTGGGGCTGAGTGACCCTCTCTGAGGATATTTCCTGGCCTATAAAATCAGAATCTTGATATCTATCCCTCATCAAAGGAAAGATCAGTCCACCCTTCTAATCCCAACAAACAAATCCTATCCATCTGATGCCAAATAGCTCTCCAGTTTCACCTCTCAGCACTCTCACCTCTCAATGATGCTCCTTTCCACCCCACCACTATGCCTTTTCTCATTCTGTTTCCTCTCCCTGGATTTCCCTTCCTTTTTTTGGATTAACATCTACTTGTCCTCTAATACTCAGCTTATCTCCTCTAGAAAGACTTCTTCCATTCCCCACCCACTGGCTAGGTTAGGTGCCACCCCTCTGGGTTCCTGTAATATCATGGGCATATACCATTTTTGCCCTTAACAGCTAGTAATTACAGCTGAAGTTTATTGAGCACTTACTAAGTGTCTGACCCTCTGCCTGGCCCTTTACCCAGCATCATGTAGTTGAATCCTAACCATACCCATAGAAAGGAGATGCTGTCTTCATGCCCATTTTCCTAATCAGGACACAGCCTGAGGAAGGTGCACGGTGAGTATTAGGGTTGGAATGTGAACATAGGGTAGTGTTATTCCAAAACCTATTTGAAGCTTCTGCCATATGCTCTGTCTGCTCACCTCACGCCCTGAACACAGGCATAATTTTCTGTTTAGGGATAAGACCTCCTTCTGACCTATGAACACCAGGAGTGCAGTGTCTTGCTCTTTTGTGCCTCCACCCCTCTCAGCCAATCAGAGTCCCAGGAAGGGGTGAATCCAAATCTCACATTTTCTGGGCCCATGCAGTTGGGGCTTCCCTCCTTGACCCTCAGCTTTCTTCACCCCTCCCTAGATCTTAGGAATCTAGCCCAGTGTCCCATGCCACATCTACACCTGCCTAGGGGTCAGGTTTAATCCAGGTAAAGGGTACCTCCACTCCAAGATCATGGTCACACGTGCTAATGCGCCCAGCTTGGGCCATCACTCCTCAGGCTTTAGCTCACTGAATTCTCACAGTAACCTATGAGGAAGATAGGGGTAGAGTTTTCATTTTACAGATGAGGGAAACTGAGGTTCGGCTGATATCACAGAGTGAGTGTGTGGATCCAGAAGTGATCCCAGGGTTGTCTGACCTCCAAGTCTTTCACTGTCCCCATTGCCTTCCTCCTGTTTCGGGCAGGGCCTTGCAAGTGAAGATCCTAAGGGTGACAATTGTGATTCATCTCTGCATCTGCGATGGGTCAATTTGACACCCAGGCACTGTGAGATGGGTTGTGAAAGTCTGGGTTGGACAGACGCTGGCTCACAGCGAGCCCAATAACTAACTTTTTATTGGCAGAGGTCAGCAGGGCAAGGATTACCATCCCCACCTTAGAGATGAGGAAGTTGCAATCAGAGAGGAGTAGAAAAGTTGCCCAAGGTCATTCCTGAGTCAGAGGAAGAGTAGGACTTGAATGCAGGATACCCAGGGACCCTGTGCAGAGTAAGAGGAAGGAGGCTGTAACAAAGGCGGGGGTTGCAGGGCCTGGGCTGGCAGCTTTATGGGGCCTGTAAGTCACAGGGATGTGTCAGAGCCATCCCTACTCTAACAATCCCTGCTTTAATGAGGGACTGGTCTCCTCCATTGGAGCTGGGCCGGGTATGGACTAGACAGTGACAGGTGACTACTTTATGGCAGGCCAGGATGGGGGTCCGGGCTGGGACTGTTAAGACCAGGGTGGGGGCCTCCTGCCCTGTGGAACCTTGGAGTTAGAGATGGCACACAGTGAATGTCCAGCCTCTGTGGTATCTGTGATTAAGATGCATTGTGAGGAAATGCCCATTCTTACCCTTCTTCCCTGCTCCAAGCCTCGGAGGGGATCCCCGACACCGGGGCGTTGTTCTTCTTCCCCATCTTCCTGGCCCCCAAACATGCTAAAGGATGTGCTGACCAGACAGGAGCAGGATTACCTAAGGGGCAGCTCCCCTTCCACACTCCTCTCCCCTGGGGGTGGCCAGTGCAATGGACTTTGAAGTGGATCCAAAAGTCACTCACTGATAGCCCCTTAACCCCACCAAACGTTCCCAAGTCTCCCTCCTGCCTGTCAGGGTGCTGGCCTGGGGTCACAGGGACCTTCTGAAGTGGACGTCATTCCCAGAAATGGGTTTCCTCCCCACCTTTCCCCAGTCCTGAAAGATATATTTGACAGCGCTGTGAACATAAATCCACTCTCCAGAAAAGGCCCTGGGATGTGGAATCCCTCCTCTGACTGTCATTGTCCCAGGCTGGTGATCAAAGTCTAAAGCAGTGTAGACAATAGGGCCCTAGCCCAATGAGGATACCCTCTCTCCTCCTGCCTCTCTGTTAGGATCAAAGCTGCTCCATGAGACTGTGTGATCCTGGGCCAGGAGGTGGGAGGGAGTCAGTCAGGACACTAACCAAGAAGAAAGCCCCTTTGCCCGGGTAGTCCTGGGGGAGGCACTCTCTCTCTCCTGAGGTCCCTACCCTAGGTTCAAAGGCCGGTGGGGCCGAGAGGTTGGCAACGGATGGGGAAGCGACTAGACCAGAAAACCAGGGCTTCCTGTTGATGAAGGGGGCCCAAGCCCACTGCCTGGTTCCTAGTACCTCTTCCCCACCCAAGTCTGAGCTTCCCAATCTCCCACGGAAGCTCCCACCCCATGTGGGACACACGGTACCTAGAGCCATGAAGGAGACTAGAGGCATGGCAGCAGGGGGGCCAAAGCCAGGAGAGGAAACACCTCTCTCTCTGACAAGAGCTAGCTTCCTCTCTCTGGGGACCCACAGCCCCATTTTCCCCAATGCTGGGGCCTCCTTCAAAGGCACTTTCCTTTCTCTAAATTCATCTGAAGATTCTGGCAAATGAGAGAACTAGGGGTTCATTCAGACCCCGGCTCAATAGGACCCAGCCCCTCCCTTCTGACCGCATAAATTTTCTCTCACTGAGCCCCTTGGCAATCCTTTGCAATTTCTCAATTCTGTCGCTGTCAGCCCCCTCTGCTCTGGCCATCACATAAACACGCACACAGTAATTTAGGGACATCTTCACTGTGTTGGAAAGGGGTCTTTGGTCGGCTTGGGAATTAAGTTTGGAGGATACATGAAAGGAGATGATACAGAGAATCAGCAGCCACCGGCTGGGAGACAGAAGCAACCCTTCTTTTGGGGGACAGCGGATTCAACAAACACCATCGCACATCCCTCAACCTCATCATGCCTCTAAGACTATCTCCACCGCCCACCAGCATCCCAAACCCCAGGCCCCGGCGGTCTGCTCCCTAGGCGACTGGGCTGCGTGGTGGTCTGCACCAAAACGATGCAAGTCAGGAATCCGGGACATCCACCCTTGTGTGGGTCAAGTACCTTGCGACGTTGCTCCCCTGTTCCCAAACCAGGGACCAAGTGCGGGATGGGGAGAGGTGCGACTGGGGGTGGCGGAGAGGGCGCTTCTCTGAGGGGTGAGGACGCAGAGTCGGTGAGGGGGCTTCGCGCATAGTGCAAGGTGGGAGGGGGTGGAGTGGAGGATTTCAGATCAGAGACAGGACGCGGGGAGGGGAGGCTCCGCTAAGGGGAGGAGCCGCTACCCGCGCCCCGCTGTCGGGGATCCCTCCCGTCGCGGCTCCGCTATAAAATCCCGGGCCCGCCTGGTCGCGGCACCCGCGGCGGCCTCCTCCGAGCGCGACCCCCGGCTTGGAGGCGACTTTGCTCCTGCGCAGGATGCGGCTGCTGCTGGCGCTCCTGGCCCTCGCCACCGCCCGGCCCTTGGCCCGCGCAGGTGAACTCCTGGGCTTCGGCCCGTGCCCCTCGGGTAGCCGGCTCTGCTCCCCAACCCCGCGCCCCTCGCCCAGGCTGCGCCCGCTCGCCGCCAGTGCGCGCGGGCTGCGCGTCGGTCCGCTCGGAACGGCTTGCGCGCCCGGCGCGGCGAGGCTGCGGGCGGACGGGGCGCGTGAGCGGGCTCGTGTGCGCACGCGAACGGCCACTGTGGGGCGGGAGGAGCGTGGACACGCGTGTGCGCGGCGGCCCTGGGCGAGAACAGCGTGCGAGTGGGTGAGAAGGATGCTTCTCTAGCCCGCTCCGACACACGCCTCGGTTCCTCGCCCTTCCTGGCGTTTCACCGGGTTCTAGTCCTCCTCAGTTTGCCGGTGGGTCGCTGTCGGTCCTGCCGGGGCTCGGTGCTGGGTGACTACCCCCCACTCCAGAGCAAGGGCAACACATTGGGTGTGGTGGGGCCCTGGCATCCCCACTTCCCACCCTGGGTTCCTTATCCCCCGAGGCGGCCAGCTCCCTTCACCTCCCCGGCTCCCAGCGCTGGATGGGGAGCCTGGCGGGGGGCACCCGGAGACCGGAGGTCCTGGCCAAGCCGGTCTTTCTGGCCAGGGTGATTTTCGTTTAAAGATTAATGGTGAGGCCAAGCTCTTAATTATTCGCCTAGGTGGGAGGTGGCAGGAGAGGCGTGTTAATATTTGATAAGGAACTGAAGGCGCTTCCAGCGGCTGGGGACAGGAACCCGGGAGTCACCTTCTCTGTGACCCTACAGGGGACCATCTTCGCAGGAAGCCCGGGCTCCCCTCCGCCCCCTGCCCCCCACCCCCCACCCAAGGTCCCTGGGGTCCTTCTGGCCAAACCTCTTCTCCAAGATGCTCCTCCCTTGGAGTCATGGAGTGAAGGGTGAGGGTACCGGAACAGCAGAGAAGGACAGAATGGGTACAGGTTGGTTGCAGGAGAGACTTGGCTGGCCGGTAGGGGTGGGGCGGTGGGGGTCATGAGGGGAATCGTGCAGCAACTGCCTCTCTCTAGGAGACGAGGAAAGAGAAAACGCAGCGGAGGTGGTCAGAACAGGCCTCCCCAAGATGTGCCAACTTGGCATATGAATTATTTTGAGCTGAAGGCAATAGGGAAATTTCTACCTCTCCCTTGAAGAATTTAAATTGGCTCATAATAAGAGTTATTACCAGAAATAACTTTTTTTTATGACCAATCTGTAGGGTGGGGCAAACTTCGAATTACTGAACACCTGCTCTTTTATTGTTTTGTGGATGAACTTTCTCCCCTCTGAAGCCCCAAGGTCTCACACCTCATCCTTAGCTCAGGATGTCATATACACTTCATTTTCCCTTTTTGTTTCTGAACCGCTCCTGTATGTGGGGTCCTGGCACACACATAATTAAGTTTGGTCATTTTCTCTTGTTAATCTGCCTCATGTCTATTTGATTATTAGACCAGCTGCAAGAACCTAGAAGGATCAGGGACAGTTTCTTCCTCCCCCACAATAGGATGTGAAGGTTTTTAGTTATAGAGTTGGACGTTTGAAACCTGCTTAAGCAGCTGGGCTTAGTAGAAAGAGAAATGGTTTGCAATTAATTTGGCCACTTTGTAGCTGTGTGGCCTTAGGCAAGTCACTTAACCTCAGTTTTCTCATTGACAAAACAGGGATGGTAATTCTAATGTCAGGTGTGGTTTTCAGAATTCAAATGAGACAGTGTGTGTCAGTGCTTAGTGTGGTGCCTGGGTGGCACATGGCAGATGATGGCTATGATGGCTTTCTACCACTGGCCTGGGGCCAGCCAGCCAGGAATTGATTACAGCTGCCCCCTCACACAAGCTGTGCTCCCCTTAAGGCCTGAGGCTTTCTGACTGGGAACTGCTGAGGGACCTGATGCCTTCCTCCACCCACTTCATCCCCTAGGAAACTTGAGGCTGGAGAGGAACCGGCTGTACATTAAAGTCCCCAGAGCATCTGCTGCTCTGCAGAAAGGGAGGGAGAGGATATTGGGGGCCACTCAGAGTCCCAGACCTCTGTCCAGGAGTTGCTGAGACTGACTGCCCAAGACATACTTGGTTTTCAGGATTGCTGAGCTGGTTTTCAGGATTCCTCCCTCCCCCCACCCCCAGAGTGGGAGGGTGGGGTGAGCAAGGTCCACCAAGAACAGCTTTTCTAGTAATTTCTAAAGAAGGGTGGGGTGGGGTGATGGGTAAGTAAACGATGGGGGACAGTGGCAGGATGATTGGCAATGGTTGTGAGGACCCTGACTCCATCTCTGGTTAGAACAGGTGGGTTAGTGGAACCTGGAGACGAGACCTCTGTGTAGCCCCTCCCCTTCCCAGGCCCTCTTGGAGATGGCCTAAGACAGCGGAGTGGGCTGGTAATCATCTGCAAGGGCAGCCCTCTCATGAACAAATACAGGAACCAGAGCTGGTCTGTGACCTTGCCACTTCTTGCCTGAAAACCAGTACCCTACCCTCAGCCCACGGACATAGACTTGACTCTTGGCCTTGGCCTCATCAACATTATGTTTTCTTGGCTCATGCCTCCTGAAAAGAGTAGTTACAAGAGCATTCAGCCAAGCAGGTCAAAAGTTTCTATGATTAAGACAGTGGATCAGAGGTTACCATTACAATCCCAGGAGCTGTAGCCAGAGGCTGGAAAGAGCAAATTCCTAAGAAAAGCTCAGCCTGGACCAGATGGGCCCTGGGGAGGCTCAGAGGGGGTTCCATCCTTTAGAGCTGGCCCCCCAGGACTCCCCAGGAGTGGCTTTCCCTTGGACCTCCAGTCCAGAGGAGGAGCCAGCTTGACCTTGGAAGCCTCATCTGCCTTCAGGACCTCTGAGAGGTGAGGACACAGGAGGGTTATAACAAGGAGGGGATCACAGGTGCAGATGACCTCCCACCCATCGTCTCCTCAGACACTAGCTCCTTCTGCCTGAGGGAGAATGTAGGGCTCAGAAAAGTCAGCGAGTCTCCTGCAGAGACTAAGCAAGAAGCAGAGCTGGGGCTGGAAGCCAGGTGAACGGGCTCCAGCTTCACAGCTCCTTCCATCTGCAGAAAGGGGCCTAGATGCGACGTGGCCCTCTTAAAGAGTTGACCCATATGGGGGTTCTCAGATGCAGCAACTCACACGGGCAGGAAAGCCCTGTCCAGGGCAGGCTGGAGTGTCATGGGGAAGTCACTCAGGGACTGTCCATCTCTGAAAGAGGCTGGCTGTGCTGGCAGGGTAGGTGAAGCATCTGATCCAGAGCTGGGGAACTCGAAAACCCAAGGTGGCTCTGAGGGTCTGAGTGAGAGGGTGCCCAGTTTTCTGTGGGTGCTCACTCTCCTGGCCTCGAACCCTTCCTCCCACCCCCTACCAAGAGCCTAACCTCATGGATCCCTCCCCACCTTGTCCTCATTCCAGGGACCCCAGAGGAGGTGGAGTTAGAAGCAGCCCAGGCAAGAAAGTGGGGGTGAGGAGCAAGGGTATACTCAGAGTCCTCGACTCAGGCTGAGTGGGAAGCTGTGCTTTTCTTAGGAATTTCCTCATCCCTGAATTCTTTCCAACTTGGCTTTGGCCATCTGTGCACTGATAGGAGGCCAGAGGGAGGAAGGCAAGGGGAAGGGAAGGGCTCATCAGGGACTTAGTCCTAAGTTCCAGGCTACTTGGAACACTCCTACCATCTCTCAGTTAATCCTCACAGCCCGATGAGGTGGGCGGTATTAGTTCCATTTTACAGATGATAAAAGTGAGGCTTAGAGAGATTAAGTGACTTTGCTCCTAAACCAACAGCTCCTATGTAGCCCAGCCAGAATTCTAGCTCTGGATCAAATGCTTTGTCCACCCTGCTGGCACAGTCTCTCTCTCTCTCTCTCTCTCTCTCTCTCTCTCTCTCTCT